GCAACTTCTTCAAAAATCCCTAACTCCCTTTTCAACTTCCTTCTCAGTCCCTAGGTGTTTTTTCTTCCTTTGAACTCCCTACCCCCATAATATTGTTCCACTTAAATCCCTTGTGTTAAATTAGATAAAAAATAAAACAAGTTATGACATCATCCCACTACCATTCATCTCATTTTATTATTTTATCATTTTTCTCTCTCTCTCTCTCTCCACTACTAACTTTCTTATTTTTTTATTATTTTTCTTTCTCTCTCTTTCCACATATTTTTTTATTATTTTTTTCTCATCTTCTACTATTCATCTCTTCTACTAATCTTTTCTCTTAATTTTTTATTATTTTTCTTTTTCTTTACTTCCACACAATATACAGGTACTAAATTACAACAATATTGGTATTGTCCTACTACATTCTAGATATCATTTTTGTAAATAAATTAAATGACAGTATATAAGTACTGAGTTACTACAACACTGGTACTGTCCTATTCCAGTATAGGTATCAGTTTTGTAACTCATTAAAACAAATCCGAATGTCACTTTATTATCCTGTTGGGGTCTGACACTCAGATATTACCATGTTGGGGTCTTTGTGTTGTGTTGTGTTGTTTGTGTTTTTTGTTTTTTATTACCCTTTTGGGGTCGACTCTAGGCGGTCATTGACTTTTCCTCTCAATTTTTCAGTTGTATGTTGTTTGTATTCAGTTGTTGGCTGTTTGTATTCAACTATTGGCTGGTTGTATTCAGTTGCTGGCTGGTCTTTGCACATTTGTGCTTTTTTATAAAATTATCTATCGTTTCGAAAAAAAAAACTCATTAAAACAAATTATTATGAATTATAGTGTGATGCACGGATAATAGATATTCATTAATATTTATAAATTGAAAATTTTCACAAAATAATATGTTTAAATAAAAAAATATGAAATCGATATGTAATACTCACCCTGTATTAATTTATTTAAAATGTTATACAAAATTTATATTGCGAAATTATGTGTATTTAAAATTATTACATAACACGTGTGATGTACATAACTGATAATAAGTTACATTATTTCATTTCAAAATAAGTGTCATTTTTAAATTTTTATTCAAATTCAATTTGAATACAATGTGGTTTCATAAAATAAATACCATGGTAAAATGTTTATCATATATTTAAAAATATATATGAATAATAAGTATTAATATTAAAACTTATATCTTTTCATTAATTAATATAAATTTATTTTGTATAATATATCCAGATAGAAAAATTATATTTACTAATCTTTATTGCATATAAATCTATATTATACTAATCTCACAAGTTTTAAAGTTTGTTGTATATTACTATGTCGTTCAAATTTATCATCTAATTCTTTATAATTAAATTATAAATTTCACTAAAAAATATTTACCTAAAGATCTATCTAATTTTCAAAAGAAATATATATCAACTAGTAAGATACCCGTGTACTATACAGGTACTTAAATATATTAATATCTTTACAATAGAAAATTTAAAATAAATTATTTTTTAATTTAAAATTATGTATAATGAATATAAAAAACTTATGAAGCATATGAGACTGCCACTTAAGTGAGGGCATTCGAAAATTATATATAGGGGCAATTTATAAAATTATCATTAATATCTTATGACAAGTTATTATAGGAAGATACTAAAAATTGAGAATTTTATCACCTTGATTTTATAATTTCAATATAAATGGACGTTAAGGCGAGATTATATTATTTATTGTGAAACCCCGTGCGTCAAGAAGAACTAAAATTTTAAATATTTATTTGATGAAAATTAAGCAAATCAATTAATTTTTTTTTAAGAAAACAAATAAATACTATGATAGGACATCAACCAATTTAATGCGTGATATATCATGTTAATCAGTTTCATATATGGAATGTTCCGCCTAAGTGATTTTAATTGCAATAAATATGAAATGTTGCGGTTGTGAATATATTAAGGGATGATCATTATTTATATTGAAATTAAAAGACAAATTTGTTTCTATAAAATGAAAATTACCTAAAAATAAAATTTCAAAATTAAAGCTCTATTGAGTTCATGGCTACTTGTCAAGGAAACTTAATTAAACACCTTCAAATACTCATACAAACTAATGTATAGGTGATTTTGAGTAACATAAACATCATTTAAGACCAAAATTCGATTTTTTTTTTTATGTTGGTTGGAATTGGCACTTAAGACGCTATATCGGGTACTATTTCATCAAATAAAAATATAAATGATTTTCTAAGAATGATAAAAATATAATTCATTAATGCACCATAAAAAAAAATATTTTATTGTTTTATTCCATAAATTTTGAATAAAAAATAAAAATTAAGTATTACATAAAATAAATTTAAGGAAATATTATTTCTCAATATAATAGATTATATAAAAACATAATGTCATTATGTTATTTAAAAAAGTAAATATAAAAAATATCATAATTAAATATAATAAAATAATTTTATATTTCACAAAGTTAGAAAATAATACATTTATATGTACATATAGGTAGAATTTAGAGTAGTCATGTATGACCATTCAATGAGATGAAGTGTATCACTCAATGAAATGAAGTGTATTAGTAGTGTTTATTCATTAGTGTGTTGAGTTCATGACCAACGTGCGATGAAACTTAATAAACACATTTTAAATTTCATAGCAACTAATGTGCGAGTCATTTCGAGTCATATAAATATCATTTAAGACCGAAATCCGGTGTTTTTTATATTCTTTGCTGTTGGTACTAAAAATCCGATATCTGGTGCTAAAACACCAAAAGTTGGTACTATCTTACTCTAGGTCTGGTACCAATTTTTGCAAATGTTGACCAAAATTGAAGTAATCTATTTTTGTTGACCGAGAGGAGGTACTAATTGATTCAAAAAAGGTACTACGCAAAAAAAGGTACTACCCGGCTCGATTCCGGATTAGTCGGTTCCCCTGTGGATCCGAAAACCGGAAGGTCCCTGTACCAAAAAAAAAGGTACTACGCAAAAGAAGAAGCGGTACTATTTTTATCAAAACTGGTACCATTTTAGTAATCGTGATTTCTTTAATCCTTCATGTCCACCATGCCACGTGGATCGTTCACGTGCGATTTGGTTGAGAAATAGTGGAAGTTAAAACATATAGGTAGAATTTAGAGTAGTCATGTAGATCATTCAATGGATGAGGTGTGTCTTTTAATGAGATGAAGTGTATTGGTAGTGGTTTTTCATGTATGTGTAGAGTTCGTAACCAATTTGTGTTTAAACTTAATTAAACTCATTTTAAATCTTATAGAAACTAATGTGAGAGTGATAATAGGTTATATAAACATCTTTGAGACAGAAACTCGGTGTCTTTTTATGTTCGTCGGAGTTGGTACTAAAGACCCGATATCTGGTGTTAAAGCACCATAAAGTTGGTACTATTTTACTCTAGGTCTGGTACCAATTTTCACAAATGTTGATCAAAATTGAAGTAATCCGTTTTCGTTGACCAAAAGTAGGTACTAACTGATTAAAAATAGGTACTACGCAGAAGAAAAAACGGTACTATTTATATCAAAACTGGTATCGTTTTAGTAATCATGATTTCTTTAATTCTCCATGTCTGCCATATCACGTGGATCATTAATGCGTGATTTGGTTGACAAATAATGGAATTTAAAACATATAGGTAAAATTTAGAGTAGTCATTATGATGTTTCTATGAGATGAAGTGTGTCATT